TGCCGTGTGCTGCAGGTGGCTGTGCCTGGCGTCCTGTAGAGCCCCGGGTCCCCTGTCCTTTGGGGAGGGAATGACCCCCAGCAGCCCTGTCCCTACCCCTATCCCCGCTGCACCAGGACCGCCTTCATCACTGGCACCTACTCCCCACCACCCTTTTGCTTTCCCCTGGAGCTGCCACCAGGTGCTGTGGTTGCTGGTGGGCTTCTGCCTGACCTGGAGGTGTCCAGCTGGCATGGCTCTGTGCGAGCACTGGCACGGAAATGTCCAATGGCTCCTGCAGCCCAAGGGCTCCACGGCTCCACTGTAGCCAGGCAGCAGGGCAGGAGCATGGCACTGCTGGGTGTTGCAGAGGCCCTTGTGCTGTGGGCACGTTCCAGGCCTGGGCAAGAGGAGGTGTGGGCTGAGGAGCCATAAGTGGTGCCATGGGTGCAAGGTGGCCAGTGCAGCTGGGTGCAGCTGGCCTGGGCTGCAGGCAGGGAGCGCCTGGCTGCGCTTGGGCAGGACCTGCCTGCAGCAAGGTCTCAGCCCCGCTCCTGGACATCACCGTGGGGGAGTCCAGCCTGCTGAAACCTTGGCTCCAAGACCAATAGGCAGGACTGTGCTGCTGGCCAAGAGGCCAGGACAAAGCTTCACCTTCAACCCTGAGATGAGGAGTCTGGGAAGCAAAGCCCCGCTGGTGCAAAGCCCTGGCAGCTGACAGTCTACCACGGGCTGCAGGCCAGGGCAGTGTGTGGCTCCATGTCCAAGGACCCTGCCCACTGGGGCTACCCCACAGGCTCTGCGACATGCCCTGGGGATTGCCCGTGAGAGGCCTGAGCCCATCCGGAGAGTGCTGGGCTGTGGGGCAGAGCTCGAAGGCGTGAGGCTGGACACCGGCTCCTCTGTTCACCCAAGGCCATAGCTGGGTGGGAGAAGGACTGGGCAGGAGAGAGGCTGCAGCTGGACCCAAGGGAAGAAGAGTGGAAATGGGGGTATCTGCCCTGATGTCTGGGACTGGGACGCAGAAAGGCGTTCCGGCTGCCCCGCACCACGTGCCCAGAGTGTCTGCAGCTGGTGCTGCCCTGGCCCCTCTGTGCCCTGGGCGGTCCAGGCAGGATCCAGCCCCAAGCGCGGGGTCAGATTTGCATGGAGGGGCTGTGCCCAAGGCGGATGGGGGCTTAAAAAGGAGTTGGGGTCGACAACACAGGCCCATCGGCGTCGGGACGCAGAGCTGGTGGAATCGCGCCATGGCCTGGGTCCCTCTCCTCCTCGCGGTGCTCGCCCACGGCTCAGGTGCCCTGCACGGACTTGCTGTGCCCGGATGGGGCCTCATGCCACTGCCCGGGCAGGGCTGTGCGCATGGGGCACTGACTGACCCCTGTCTTCTCCCCTCTCTCCTCTCCCTCTCCAGGTTCCCTGGTCCAGGCAGCGCTGACTCAGCCGTCCTCGGTGTCAGCGAACCCGGGAGAAACCGTCCAGATCACCTGCTCCGGGACCAGCTACAATGTTGGCTGGTACCAGCAGAAGGTAGCTGGCAGTGCCCCTGTCACTGTGATCTATGGTAGCACCAACAGACCCCCGGACATCCCCTCG